AGTGGCACACAGTGAGAGCAGTCTGTCACCGTTCGCATTCGCTGAACCAATGCCATGCGAACCGATAGCATCTGCCCACACCGATGCATCACGCCCAACGCGCGCGTTGAAATCACCCAGCAGAAATAGTCGGTCGCTCGTCGGCACAGACCGTATCACGGAGGATAGCTGAGTGTAGAATTGATCACGCGTGTCATCAGGATAACACATGGTCGGACCGTGCGTGCTTATAAAAGTAGCAAACTTACCTCTTCCGAGTCGTAGGAGAGCAATCACAAGTCGCGCGCTAATACCAATTGGTTCTCCCAAAAGCCGGCCATGGAGGCGATCGGATATTGCAAATCCGACCCCATGTTCACGTGGTGCTGAGGCGGCGTTTCCCACTCAGTAGAATGTGTAGCCAGCACCTGCTTCATGCAACTTACCTTGCTCAGTGAGCCGGGTTTCAATGAGCGCCGCAATATCGATGTTGTAGCGCGCCAGCTCCATCGCGACCAGTGCAGTGCGTCGCTCCGGGCGCTCGCTGGAGTTCCGGTCCAGTAGTGTGCGCACGTTCCAGCATTCGATGCTGAGTGCTTTACGCGCAGGCATACGATTGCATTGGTGGGCAATCGCACGCGAGGTAGTCATTGTGCTTCGGAGTTTTGCTTGAAGCACTCCACCCGGAGCCTTCGGCTCAATAGCCTGACCCACAAGGCAGTGGGTGATATATATATATATATATATATATATATATATATATATATATATATATATATATATATATATATATATATATATATATATATATATATATATACGGTTGGTGGCATTCGGTTTCGGATTTGCCTGTCACTGTGGCCAGCCACAGGACGCCTGCGCCTACAGAGGGACCATGGGTAGCTTGCGCTGCACCACCCACAGCCCCACCCACACACTCCATATCCAGTGTAAACCTGAAGGAATAAGACCGGGAGGCATGTGGATGGGAGCCACGTTTCATCAACGGAGCCGGCCCACACTTCTTCACAGGCAAACACAAGCACGCTGTATTTGGGAATCAAGCGCACACAAGGCGGTGGCTGGACCGTAGTCTGTTCCACACTGAGTGCATGGAACCACTCTTCGAGCTTAGCACGAACATAAGGACCTTGCACCCCGTCCCTTCCAGCAACGACCAGCTATCTCCTAGAGACAGTATGGGCGAGGTAGTGGGTAATAGACGGGTAGACGCCTTGTCAACATGCAGCGCAGCCGCACCGGGGATGTCAAACAACAGCCAATCACTTGAAATAACAGTAACAAATAAAATATACATGTTAAAGCATACGGCTATGCAGACATAACTCTTCCCTAAATTAGCATATGTTGGTTAGCAACGAAGTCGCGATAAGTAAAAAATATCCAGAAGTGACTCATAAAAGCTACAAACGCAATAAAGTTAACGAAGATAAGCACAATTGTCGTAAGCAACGTGGAAATTATTCCGGTAAGCAGAACAAATCAGATGAAGTGGAGTGAAATATATCTAGCTTAAAAGAGACCTAGTTTAAGTGTAAGCTGGTTTAGCCCAACTGCAGTGAAGAAGCATCATGAATGCAATATATATATATATATATATATATATATATATATCAAAAAAGGCTACCAGAATCTGAGCTGATAGTGAAAAAAGAAAAGCATTTCTTGCCTCAAGTGTGCCATACTGTCAAGAGATGGGTTGTGTCCGTTAGAGGAAAAAACCAGGGCGTTGCTTAAAGTTCCAGTTCCTAAAAATGTGTGAAAACTACGAATTTTCCTAGGAGCAGTCATTTAGTTCTCTCGGTTCATACCATCAACATCAACTCATTTGCATCCACTTCAACTTTTGCACAATAATCAACCGTGGAAATGGAACGTGATTCACGAGAAAGCTTTCAACGCGGTAACACTTGGCACCAACTGATGTACTTGTACATTCTGACCCACGAAAGCCGATTTTCTTCTCCTTTAATGTCCCTGCTTCCGGCCTTGGGGCTGTTTCGCTATACAAACTACCTGCTGATTCGCAGGTACCTGTTGCTTACGCTTCACGAACCTTAACTGCAACCGAAAAGAACTACTCAGCTCGATCTCGAGGCAGCTGCTGTTATTTTCAGTACCAACTGATTCTACCAGTACTTGCTCGGCCAAACTTTCGTGCTTAACACAGACAACAAGCCACTTATTTCGCTTCTGGGATACAAAAAAGGAATACAGTAAATGGTCTCACTCAGAATGATCCACTGGTCCCTCATCTTATTCGCGTAAGCATACCGAATTCAGGATATCCCTGACCGACAGAATACTACAGCCGATGTTCTTAGTCGACTTCCCTATCGAATGTGCCTTTGGAGGAATTTACTCCGCAAGAGGTTATCAATCTAATTCGGTTGTACAACAAGATCCCCGTCATATCCATAGGTGTAGGTCAGGAAACCGACAGAGATTCCCTGTTAGCGCATGTAACGCATTACGTTCATTATCGTCATTAATATTATTATCATTATTAATAATATTATTATTATTATTATCATTATTATACGCGTTAGCTAGAGGTGGGAAACGCCTCAGCTACTGTGCCGCAATACATAAGCATTACGTTCAGGTTGAATGACCTGAAAACACACCTGCAGAACTTATGCCTTTTCGCAGCGCGATGAATGAACTCAGTCTGCAAAACGGATGTTTGCTGTGCGTCGATCAACCTGGAAGAACTTCACGAGGCGCACCCAGGAGTTGTTCAAGTGAAAATACCTTCCCGTTTCCATGTATGGTGGCCCGATTTGGATGGTGATATTGCGGCAAAAGTTGGGCGTTGCATGCTCTGGCCGGATTCTCAACACGCTACTCCTCGGGTATTGATGCGGCCTTGGAAATGTCTAGAAACGCCCTGGCAACATGTCCACATAGACTTTTTCGGTCAATTTGTAGGCCAGATAACCCTTTAAGTTGTTGACACGCATTCCAAGTGGATTGACGTCCACATTCAGGCCACAGCGACATCGGCCAGGGCAATAATCAAACTGCGCAACACACTCGCTGCCTTTGGACTCCCCGAAACACTAGTGTCACACAACGAATCTGCGTTTACCAGTGCTGGATTTTCCACTTTCCTTGCTTCAAATGGAATTGGACACAACTACTGCTTCTTACCAACCATCTTCAAACGGTTTGGCTGAAAGGGCTGTGCAAACGGTGACAAAATTGCTGTCTAAACAAACGGACACGCCACTGCGTGTGCGCCTGGATCGTGCTCTTTTTGTTTACCGAAATGTGGTGAACGATACCATCGGAAGAAATTCTGCGGAGCTAATGTTCGGCCGTTGTTTGCGTACACGACTAGACTTATTACACGGTACTCTAGGATCTGAAGTGCTCGATAAACAAGGCCAAATAAAGACAGGCTTGTAACAGAGTCAGACCCAATCTACGTACGTTTGCTTACAGAACCCGGGTGGCAGCTAGCTGTTGTGAAGACAGCTAATAGGTAGATCATAGAGGCGACGACTGAGGACGGCAAATTAGTGAGACGTCATCTGGGTCACATGCGTCCAAGGCCGATAAATTCCGAGTCAATATGTAAACCGAACACCCCACCTCCAGGGTCCTACGACATGCGTGAGAGTGACTCCGTGCCGGAGACTGAAACTCCGCTGCGTAGGTTAATTAGTGACCGCCGGCCGACCAAGCGCGTCATATGTTACCTCGGCCGACCGCGCAGTGCATGCGTGCGTACGTGTGTGCATCGATACGTATGTGTGATTCCTTCCTTACCTTCATTGTGCTTACTGGCCCATGCCACCCAATCAAGATACCGACTTCGAACTCAGTGCATACTGCTGTCTGCTTACCAACCATATGAATGTACCCACCATGATTGATTGGTCTTACGATATACTTCCATTGTTCCGTACTTGTTTCTGATTTCACTCGGGCGTAACAGAGGGCGAAGTGCTCTATCCAGCGACCCAAGCGTGTGTAGGTTGATGATTTTCGTGCCATCTGATACAGATTGTCTGACTGATAGCGTGTGAATTGCAAACCGGTAGTCTTGATAAAATAAGGTTCCAATGCAGTGGCTCTTGTGTCAGCAGCTCGTGTTGACCACCAGGATTCATGGTCAGAACGAATGCTTGCCTTGAGGTGCTGATAAATAATCTGACGGGTTTTGCTGTGCTCCGCACCGACAGGCAAAGTGCGTCGACGTTCTAATAGTTTCCAGTTTCATGATTCACCTTTTGTTTGTGCAGAGGACAGGACCGTAGTTGGACAAGCCGGCGGAGAGCACGGCTTGTTGCAGACGTGACCAGTGTTAGCCGACATCCCGAGTAGGGGGGAGAGCGAGATTTTCAAGTAGTTTCTGTTGATAATACATTTCCACCACTGGGTCCTCCAAATTGCAGGTGTTCATTTGGGTTTGCTTCGTCCTAGGGGAGCCACCGAAACACACAAACTGTTGTGCACACTAATGTACGGTCGGTTTCAACGCAAGTTGACCAGAACGATCGACAATCGCGTACGCTGCCGCGCCACCTGCGACTTATGGCTATGTGATCAAGTTGTGACCAGCGCTGAGTTGACGATGGAAGACGCCAAGTGATATAGGGCGTCCAGCATGACGAAAGCTCGTGCTGGGGAGGAAACGTTAGTGGTCAGTACATAGATTGAGCGGTCTCTCTACATTGTTAGGGCGAATGTTATTATATCCATGCGGTCCCCCGAGGTGGTGTCCACATAGTAGCAATCGATCGACACGCGAGTTAAGTCTCCTGCTACAACAATGACGTCTATTTTGGACTCCTTTAGGAGCAGCTCATAAAGATTTTGATAGAATTGGTCCCTGATCGTATCCGAGCTGCAGTAATTTGGCGCGTAGGCTCGATGTCTGCTAGCCCTGCAATAGGAACAACGTCATAACACAAAGACGATTGTTGAGTGGAATCTAATCAAGGAGGGCAGATTCAGCTCTGGCACTGGGAGCGATCCCAGCACAGACTTACTCAGATGCGGCAGATTCAGCGTCACCAGAAAGGCGTAAGTAGGAGCGGGTGCGTAGGTAGTGTGGTGACGATAGCTAGTAGACTGCGTTGGAACCCTGGATTCGTGTTCCACTCAGGCAGCAGATATCAATTGCTTGTATCCCCAGCGTGCTGTCAGATTTGCAGTGATGTGCGGGCGTTTAAAGTTGCAAGTTTGAACTGCATTCAAGGCTGTACGGGCGAAGATGGAAGACTTCGGGGTTGGTAGATCCCTGTCGAGTACTGTGTGGTTGAGATGGCAGATGTTAATGGAACAAATTCATCGGTAGAGGTAGAGCCGTTTAGCGTTGAAGAAACAGGTAGGCAAATTAGTGGCGTGAGTTTGCAGAGTCTGTGTATCAACTGAATAGCGATACATCATAAGAGCGAGGAAAACAGCGAGCGTTATTGTTCAGTTCCGTGGCTCGTCAGTAGACGAGATACTTCCCGACTGTCAAGGCCGAAGTAGATGGGCTATCTTAACGGACCTCGGCCCCGAGCCTTTCACTAAAAGGCCTAGCCTACAAGGTGGCAGGGTGAGATAAGGGTCTCGCATCCGTTGGGAGCCGGTGACCGAAGACTCGGTTCATACGCCTTTCGGATGACAAAACCCATATCTGGGGACTAAACAGTCCCGAAATCAGAGGCGAAATCCGACGCGCGGATTGCTTACCGAGGAAGACAAGAGACCGCAACCTTAATTAGTGGTCAATCACATCCCCACGTCGCAGTGTTTTTAAGCAGATAGTTGTGGCTTTTTATGAGGAAAACGCTTGCCAGGCGAAAATCCACCATTCGCCGGAACGGGAAATTCCCCAGCCACCCAGTTGGCACCTATTTAATACGTGAAGAATGTTGCTCCTACAAGTGCACCGGTGCTGGCCCTGAATTTTGTACTGAAGGACGATTTTCTGAAACTAATGGTATGAATTGACTGGAAGTCCTACGAGTCACTCATCGCTTTTGTCTCTTATATTTTCGGAGCGTTGATAATCCACCAGATTTCTATGCCAGCTCGAAGATTGCACAAGTGATAACTCACTTATTAGTAAAAGGCGGAGAAAACGCGTACGGTACAAGGACCTATAACCCTTGCCTGGCTCATCGCCCTTCATGTCAGTAAGTGTTCGGTGCACGTTCTGGGAGCGTAAGAGCTTAAATCCGGGAATTTGTAAGCCAAGATAATCATGTGATGCAGGGTCTCGGTTTGGGATAGAGCGAACTTTTTACTACATATCCCCATATCATAATTAAAAACGGAATTAGATAGGCATGTTATAAGAATAATTGGCTACTTTACAACCCCAAATTTATGTATGTGGGCAGCGATACCACTAGTACATCCTATACTGGGCAAAACAACAAAGTAGTACACTATCACAAAGGTGAGTATCACCTCAGTTTGAACATCGAACCTTGAAGATAATGCAGTAGAGAGAGAGATAGAGATCGCCAGCTGTACGCCATAACGGCGCTTCGCTGCCACGCGACCACCACCAGTCGCGCGTGGGCTGAGTATACCACGAGGACGCTCACCCCTACGTGGATTCGAACCGGTGACCTTATGGTTGCAAACTAGGTGCGCAGATCATTCGGCCATCGGCCGACAGATAATGAAGCCGATATTTTAAATAAGCAATTTTGTGAGAGCGCAGTTTCAAGTGCATGAAGGCATCATCCGTCGCAGCGTGGAGATATGAATACTACCGCACCAATTTGTGTCAGAGTGAACCAACTCCAAAACGGCTATCTGAGCCACCTACCAACTGGCAAGCACTCCAATGGAGCATCCCTGTCGCCTTAATTGACCACACTATCTGGCGTTTGAGTAACCGGATTATGGGTACAGTAATCGAGAAAACTCCTTTTTAGCTACCTGATGTAAATCAATGGATCGTGAAAAAATGGAAGAGGCAACAAATTATCTGCGTTAAAAGCCAGTCTCAACACCAATTGAGTGGCCTTAAATGTGCAGTTTGTACGATTTTCTAACATCATACTTGTCAACGGCTGCTTGCTGTCCTAAAGATAGAAAGGTCTATTCACTAAACATGCGCTTTAACCACAAGTAAGCACGTCACTTACTACCTTTCAATCCAATTTACTTGTATCGTTTTCGTAATGCATGACGCTCGTCCCCACAAAATATCGTTACAGGATGCAATATCACAGTAGCGCTCCTGTATTCGGTACCCCAAATTTAACGTTTACATTCATTCCGATTAGTTTCACGCACTTCTCTTTTAACTCCATTTTCGTTTTATTCTGTTTTGGTACTACCTCATTATTTTAACATTTTTGATTGTGACCATGGTGACGCGAGTAGTGGCGAGCGGATCCACCGTACTTTGGTGCTCAGATCGTCGTTATACTAAACTTGGATGACGTCAATAAGTGTACGTACTCAAACGTGCACATCATCCTTCAGAGCCTAACTAGGAAGTCATGACGCACCAACCGAGGTCAAGTTAGAAGTGACAACCTACAATAATTTTGACCAAATCACCGGGTGGCCTCTTCCCTCAACCAGCCTTCCGTCGAGCAAGCAACACGCATCGACGGAGTCGGTGTGTTGCCATGAGCAACACAGTTTAGCCATCGTAGCTAAAAGTGTTCCATAATGGTGCCGGGTTTCACGTGCTCTTCCTGCGCTATAGACAAAATACCGAACAGTCACTGCTCCCGCAGTGTTCCAGTCAGATGTGAGCTAAACAACGAAGGCACAGGTGATCGAACGAAACTAGTCTATTTATGCCTGCCGAGCTGATCAGTCAGGTTTACAATTGTGCAGTAGGGTCTGTCGTGGTAATTAGTATCCTGACGAATAGCGTTTCCTAGAAACACAGCGGTAGCTTGTTCAAGCGAAACAAGATAAAGTGAGAACCGATAACATCCGAAACTTGATCATCGCTACGCAATGAAGTGAGCAAAATGCTTAATAGGTGACCACAATATGATTTGTTACAGCAACACAAGACTCATCGAATAGACTTTACCAAGACTACAACTAGTGATATCGGGTGGTACTTTTGTATGCACTGAGACATGCATCTTGTAGTACAGTTTATGTAACGCGTCACGTAAGAAAAGGTAACGAGGTAAAGATAATGCACACGCCGATAAGCTAAACATGAAAGAGCATTTTTCCAGATGTGAATGTTAATAGTGAACAGAAAACACAGCTTTTCATGTCTTTCGGATGTAGCTACCCATCAAGTTATATTTTTCTAACGGTGGATAGGCAGATTGACTTTCTATCCATCCTCTACCACTAGACAAATTCGAATGGGCCGCTAATGTAATCTTACATAATTAAATTCGCAGATTTCGATCCCCATCCAGATAACCGGCGATCAGTCAATAGCATGATAGAGGGGCTCGAAAAACAACGTAAGGCAGCCGAGTTGGCTCCCAGAATCTTCCCGGATTATGTCCTGGGCATCGGCTGCATCAATAGCTGAGCACTCAATAAGATATGGCATTTTAAAACAGTTAGTTCCCCTCAGTAACTCGAAAAGCGCAATTAGAAGACGAAGTTCGGCAGATGCATGCATTTCGTATAGTCTCATCAGTGCCGATAACGGTAATCAGTATTTGCATAAAACGGATTGTGGGTACAGACATAAAACGAGAGAAAAAGCGACTGTCTTTCTTTTACAGCCAGGGCAGCCTGAGGCTAGACGATAGTTGTTTTTGCACACAAAGCACTTATTATTATTATTAATATTATTATTATTATTACCCACGTTAGCTGCAGATGGAAAACACCTCAGCTATTGTGCCACAATACAAAAAACAAGAAGAAAAAACAGTGGCACGCCGGCCGAGTCTCCAGTAATGGATGGACCGTTCCGGAGAGCTAACAGCCGGCTATCATGCCGCAAAAATTATATTATGCCTAAAGAGTAAGAACGTGATTGGAAGGGAATGTTAAGGAAGAGGGGGATGGACAAAGGAACTCACAACACAAACGCCACTGGGGCCGGCTCCTAGCCATATCAGCAAGTGCGTCCAACCAAACGTGTTCACCGTCCTTAGGACCCCAGCTAGGCAGTCGGGATGCACCAACCGACGCCAACTTCGAAGTGAGGGTTTTCATCTCTTTCGACCAACTCATCGTTTGGCCTCCCCTCTTCCAACGACACCCGCAACGCGCAAGCAATGCACGTCGCGGAAGTCGGTGTACTGGCATGCGCAACAGGTGGCCCAACCATCGGAGCCTAGTGCGTGATATAATGGTGCTGAGCGGTTCACTCGCTCTTACTGCACCAAATACACGATGTCAAACACGCTCATTGCTCACGCGGTGCTCCCACCAGACATGAGCTAAGCTGCGAGGATCGAATATGACGAGCCTTTTTATGTCTGTCGACTTGATGGGCCAGGTTTCACAATCATATATGAGAGTTGAACGGAAGGCTGCGTTATAAACTTTGTCCTTCAGGAAGAGAGTAATGTCGCGTCTGTACCACAGGTGGCGGAGATTGGCAAAAGCACCTCGAGCTTTTGCTATACGGTTCGTAACCTCATCTTCAATCCCACGGGCGCTAATATAGCTGCCCAGGTACTTGAATTCCTGAACGACTTCTAGCAGATCACCACAAAGCGTTAGCGCAGGGTTGGGTCCCTTCCAATCTTGGAGAAGTACTTTGCATTTCGATATGGCAAAGCATAGCCCAATCGATTGACAGCCAGTGCTCTTTGGCATGTTTGGAGGCTGTCACAGATTAGGGCAATATCGTCCGCATATTCTAGGTCAAGAAGTCGCTCACCAGGAAGTAGTTCCACACCTTCTAGGTCGTGTCCAGCGAACACTGTTTTCATGACTTGATCAATAGCGAAGTTAAAGAGGAAAGGTGACAGCGGGCAACCTTGTCTCACACCGTCAGTGATACTGAAGGGTGGTGACAGTTTGCCATAAACCCTCACTCTGCCCGAACTATGCGCGTACAACGCTTTGATAATGTTTACATATTTATCAAGCACATCTTTCCTCAGCAAACAGTCCCAAAGGGCACGTCGATCGACTGAGTCGAAGACACCTTTTATGTCAAGAAACACGACAACGGTGGGTCGCCAATAAACATAGCGGTGCTCCAACACTTGACGCAATGTGAAGATGTGGTCGATGCAGCCCCGACCTCGACGAAATCCGGCTTGCTCTTCACGAATCTGGCTTTCACGAGTGCCAG